ATGCATTGCTCTTTAATCTGTAGCAGTGATGCTCTTTTATGAATCCACTGTGGAGCAAACCAGGATCCTGGCTGGCTCCTAGACTGGTCCTTTCAGCCTTGCTCCCCCTCCGCTCTGGCAGTCTAAGGTCCTGTGAGTCATCACGTCCTATACAGTTTATAGGACACGAGGACGCCGAGGGACATTCCATCACTGGAGCGGAGGGGGAGCGAGGCTGAAGGGACCGGTTTAGGAGCCAGCCAGGATTGTGGTTGGACTGAGTATATCTCTGTTATTTTAGCTACTTTACAACACACACGGGGACCATGGAGAACAAAAGTAGTCACCCTCCAGAAGGAAAGACAGTGTCAGCACCAATTCAGAGATGATTTGAGGATCTACAGCTGAGCGATACACAAATAAGATACATTTTGTTAATAGTTAAGGTACTTGAATTCATTTTTAGGTTTAACTCCTGAGTTTAGTGTCACTTTAAAGGAGAACTATAGGGTTAGGGCTTTTCCCCATAGTTCTCCTTAGGGTAACGGGAGGACAGAAACTAGCGTCCTCTCGTCACCCTAAGCTCAGTATACCGCGAGCTACAGCTCGCGGTATACTGAGACGCTGAAGCAGATCCCGACAATTATGTCTGGATCCGCCCAGCTGCGTGACTGACAGCTGGCTCTGCGTATCTAGGGGCAGAGCCAGCTGTACCCGCCCCCTCCCCCGTCCGTTCTGCCAGTCAGCGCTGGAGGATCGGACAGGGGAGGGGGGAATCCAGTCCCTCCCCTGTCACGGCTCTCTGCCGGCACAGGATCGAGAAGTGAGCGAGCGCCGGTATGTGTTCGCTCACTTCCCGATCTACTGAGCCGACCTGTGACAGTCTCATTGTCACAGGTCGGCTAGAACTATGAGGTGAGTGAAAAGCCCTCAGCTCATAGTTCTCCTTTAATTTTATGATTGTTGGGAGAAAGGCTGCTGACAGGGCCACCCGCAGAGTGACATTTTCTCAGTGTATGGCCAGACTTACAGTTACACCAGCATATTTAATGGTTTAGATTGCCTTCCTTATACTGTTATACCCACTATTATGTTTAATTGTTGTGCCCTGGTATACAGGGCCATCTTATCTCTACTGCTTAACAAGACAATCCCATAACGAATAACAGGGATCAACAAGATTGTGCTTTTTGTAATAGTGTTATTTAGTTCTTTCTTTAATGACAAAAGTTCAAGGTGCCCTTTAATAGCATTAATATGCAAATACCAGGGTGTGTTTAGTTGTGTAACACGTGGTCACTGAGCGGGGTTGATTTACTAAAGCAAAATAGGCTCTTTCATTATCCAATCATATGCAAGCAGAAATACTGGGGTTTTTTTTTGTTTCCTTGTACCTAATTGGGCATTCTTTACAGAGTGAAGTTTTCATTAAGTTAAGGGGAAACTTCCTCTGCATAGTGCAAATTCCCTTGCAAAGTGAACAGCCTTTAGCAAATCAACCCCAATGCAGGCAATAAAAGGGTACCTGTTCAGATATGATCCCTATGAGAGTATGATGCAATCACTAGAACAATATTTATTTGGCCTTCCAAGCTAAAACTGATAGTTGTCCCTATTCTGCATACCCAATGCCTAATGCAGGACATACAACGAACGGCTCGGGCCCCTCTGTCATCACAGGCATGTAAACCACAGAAGCCTCTGATGTAACCCAGTAACAAATGCATGCATAGTGTCCCACCCCATGGTGACTTCACACTTAAAATTAAACTATTTACAAGGTGAGAGTGCCAACAAATGTACGTTCTCTATATTTGATTTCAACACCCTTGTCAGAATGAATTATTTGATCAAATCCATGGTGATGATTTGTGGCTTGGGAAACATTTACATATGTGGTGCCAGACAGATCTGCAGCAAGTGTATACACAGCCAAAAATACCTGCGGACGTGTTGTAACAGCGCTCACTTTTGCTGTGGAAACAGTACCTTAATTAACCTCTAATTATGTCTAGAGAAGCTACACCAGAGTTTGTCTTGGATGTCAGGTATAAATATTTAGTCTTAGATTCCAGTATTGAATTTCTGAAAATGTATCCTTTTCACGAGATGCTCATGACAGCAGTTTGTTATTATAATGTGTCAGAAAGCAAGCTTAACTTCGAAGTACTTCATAATCCATTTGTGGCCCCTCAATATTTTACTATATTAAGGAGAACTATGAGGCAAGTGCTTTTCACTCACCTCATAGTTCTAGCCGACCTGTGACAATGAGACTGTCACAGGTCGGCTTAGTAGATCGGGAGGTGAGCGAACACATACCGGCGTTCGCTCACCTCTCTGCCGTGACAGGGGAGGGGCTGGATTCTCCCCTCGCCGCTCTGATCCGCCAGCGCTGACTGGCGGAACCGATGGGGGAGGGGGCGGGTACAGCTGGCTCTGCCTCTAGATAGGCAGAGCCAGCTGTCAGTCACGCAGCTGGGCGGATCCCGCCACAATTGTCGGGATCCGCTTCAGCTGCGGTGTCTCAGTATACCGCGAGCCTAGGGTGACGGGAGGATGCTAGTTTGTGTCCTCCTGTTACCCTAAGGAGAACTATGGGGAAAAACACTTAACCCCATAGTTCTCCTTTAAGGAGAAATTCCACTTCTTGCACAAAAAAATTACAAATGCACACTTCTTTAGGAAAGAAAACACGTGCATGTATTATTTTTTGCATAGAAGCCAGTAAAGCACTGCAACTGTGATTAGTAGATTGTGGGTGCAATGCTCTGGCTCCTGCAGTCTGTACATTTGTCTGTACTGAGGTACGGACAGGCAGTAACATGGACGGGAAGAAGTGTCAATGGATTACAAGAGCTACAGAGTCGTGCCAAATTAAAAAATAGGAATCAAGCCTGTACAGCATACTTGCACATTAAGGCACGCTTACCTTACAACCGTGCTCTTCTTCATTGCTTTCGGATCGATCTTTGGTTCTTCAAATCTTCTTACTCCTATGTGTATTCTGTAGACAGAGGGGACCCCCCCCTCTGTCTACAGAATACACATAGGAGTTAGATCCTCCCTGGCATCTTAGAGATGCATGCACTGTACAGTGTACACACACAAAAAAAAAAAATTCCGGGGGGGGGGGGGAAAGGAAGAATTTTGGGGGAAATAAAGCCTATGCGTGTCTCTTCTACCAAAAATCCTTACCTCCTTTGAGATTTTTTTTAAATTATTCTATTGACTTTACTTCCCCTTTTAAAATTGAGCTGCCATTGACTTTTTTACAGCGATTGCAAATTAAATGTAACTTTCAAAATGTTCAAATGCAATAACATTGCTGCGTTTGGCTGTGCAGGTTAGCCAGTGGACCCGGCTCTGTGAGATCAGCATCCCGGTGGCTGTGGAGAAGTTTCTACAAGAGCCATGGGAAGAAATTCCGCCAGAAATTCTCCAGCTGGAGCAAAAGCTAGGCGAGCCGGTCAGGGTTCATAACGATGACAAAATAAGGAGGCAGAAGATGCAGCAGCAATTGAAGTCAAGTGAAAATGCGGATGGACAAGAAAGGAAACAGGAGCGCTCACAAAAGACGTCTCCAAAAAACTCCAGCTTAGAACTGGAAACGGCTTTATCTAAACTGAGTGCCCAAGAAACGGTTTCAAGAGGCACACGGGAGCCCTCAAACATCAGGAAGGCAAAGAATGCAGATCTTCCTCCTCTGGAGCATGTGTTTGCTGAAGGCCTCTATTTCACTCTAACTGATGTTGTTCTCATGCCTTGTATTCATCAGTTTCTGGTAAGAAATTAAACTGTCTAAAAGCATGAATTTACCTGATACATAAAACATAACATAGACTGGAGGATTGATGTTTGGTAGCAGATATCTTATATGTTTCAAGGCCAGAAAATGTTTATAACATCAGTCACTATGTCATAATTGATTGAAGAGACATGTTGCAGCTTAGCATGGTGGCTCTTGGTCAAGGAAGCCCAAGGAAGGGTCACAGGCAGAAACATACCTCATAAAGTACCACATCAAGAAGGCTTCTTGCCACTTTGTTATATTTATTGTATAGGGGTGGTGAAATCTAAATTATGTAAAAGTAGCTAAAATCTCATAAGATTTAAAATGTTCATATACGTTCAAAGGTTTTTTCAATCTGTTAAATGCAGCTTTCTTTATAGGAATATCTAGTGATCCAGCTATGGAGGTCCTTGACCAGGCACGTCCTATTATAAATGGACAACTGTGTCCCAGTTATGTGCTTTATTGTCGCACTGCCCCTGTTTAGGACTAAAATCAGCAACACCTACACAACTCCCATTGGCATGGTCCTCTGTTGCCAACCTCCAGAGCAATGACATGCAGCCAACATGGAGAAAATTAATTTTCGACAGGAAGTGGCTGGAGGACATCCACAGTGCTAGGATGCCAAAAAAAAAGGGGGAAAACTGTATGAAAGGTTTTGTGAAAGGTATGATACATAGAGGGGAATTCATCAAAATGTGGAGCTTCTCTCTCGGTTTGTTTAGTTAAGATTCGGAAATGAACGGTGGATGCTGATTGGTTGCCATGCACAGCTGCTCCAGATTTTGTCTGCTCCGGTTTTGATAAATTCCCCTCATAGTGCTTTAGCAAACTAAATGTCATCCAGTTAGGCTTTCCTTCTACTTTAGAGCTAAACTCCAGGCAGACCAACTTTAATGCAGCTCAAAATTAACTAATAAACCAGTAAATATATTTTTGAATGCAAGCAGTGTAAGTACTTGGATTTTAATTCAGTATTAGCCTCTGCACAGCAGAGCTCAGAGAAGGGGATGGAGAAACAGCACAAGGAGCCAGTCAGATGTGCTGCCATGCAAGTAGCCATGCTAGTAGGAGGAAGAGAGCAGAGTTGACAGAGAGTGGAGCTCATCAGTGTGCTGTTTCTCTTTTCACTGGTCAGCCACAGGGTGGGGTGGGGAGGAGACCTAAGTAAAAGTGAAACTGCAGTAATGAAAGATCAGGTCCCCTCCCTTGCTATACAGGGCTGTGTTGTGAGGCAGAACTGTGTAAATTGCAGAACTGGATTGACAGTAGTGTAAATCATTTGGTGAAACTGCTCATATACTGTATATGTATTTTGTCTGTGTGCTTAGCTGTTCGTCTGAAGTTCAGCTTTCAGGTGCTCACGCAATGGCTTACAACAGAGCACTGAGCATAAAGGTAAACACTTGCCCACCATGGACTGTTCATTGGATGTTACTAGATTATTTTCAATGGGAAAATATGATGTGCCAGGCTTAGACCAATCCAGCTACGTTTTCCTAGAAGGTTCAGAGGGGTTTCAGCCATGATTGGAAGCTTTAGATCAGGGGTAAGCAAACTCTGGCTCTCCAGCTGTGGTTCCACTACAAATCCCATTAGGCATTGCAAGACTCCGAACACAGGCATGATTCTCAGAGGCAGATGCATGAGGGGATTTGTAGTTTCACAACAGCTAGAGGGCCAGAGTTAGCCAACCTCTGCTTTAGAGGGTCTATATAGGACTCACTTTAAAGGGGCTTGAGTGTATTTTTAGGACTACCTGTTACATGAAGGTACACTTGCTAAACTGTCGTGTTAGCCACCACTTTATTTTACCATAGGAGCCATGTAAAGAGGCCAAGCATTGCTCACCTGGACCGGGGGCGTCCCGAGGCCAAGTGTCACACGGTCTCCAGACCGGGTGACACCCCGCCGTATCGTCATCGCGTGTACGCGTGACGCCACCTTGCGTGTGCGCGATGACGTCATCGCACATGCGCGACCATCTGATTGACGCCTGCAGAGAGGAAGGGACGTTCACCCGGCGGGATGAGGTATGCCACTGGGTCCCCTCCTCTCTCCTAATAAGTACTATCCTTGTCGCACTCCTTACTGATATGTCCCTTGTAGTGGGGGGTGCTCGCAGTGACCGCGGATGGCGCCGCGAATGTCAGCAAAATAGTAGAAATGTCACCAGCACATCAGTTCATTTAGGATAGCAAAAGCTTCATTTATTTGAGTTTTTTGTCATATGACCAACAAGCGCTTTTGGGACTACACAAGGTCCCTTCATCAGGCTTTAGCTAAAGCTGACACTGTTGGGCTCTCGGTCCATGACCGAGTGCCTGACTTTTTAGAGGGGGGTGACACCAAAATGACTGTTAGTCATTTTGGTGTCACCCGGGTGCAGGCCACACACCCCACGTGGTGCCCCTAACCTGAACTAATGATGTACGTGGCTAAAGAATACTGAATTCCAGTCCATCTGAGCTCAACCCTCCTCTTCTTCACATACACAAGCAATATTACCAAATCCAGAGGTGGAGAACAGGTTTTACTGTCTAAAGTCAATGTTACAGTTGTCTTGTAGACTTTGTATCTTTCGTTGAAAGCAATAATTTCATACCTGTGCTCGCGAAATATCATTTTACAGAGAGGCATGACAGATCAAATCGAAACTGGTGGGTTATCTCTGCTCTACAAGGGCTGACACGTCTGCTTTGAAAACAAAGCCGTATAGACAAAGAGGCTTAATAATTATCACTGATATCTTCAAAAAATGAGTGCCTTCTGATATCAAATATGCAGCCTGGCTAGACCGCTGTCATGGCAGCAGATAAGTTGGGGTAGCTGCAGAAGTTGTCTCTGTTCAATAATGGGATTTAAAATACATGATGTTCATTAGTCTAACATTGCTTTTCTTCAACGTTGCATCAAGTGTTGAAATAACAGCTTTTCCTTTTATCACATCATGTCCTGTCTCCTGGATTCTGCCTTTGAGACCCAACAGTTTATGTATTATATTTATAGACTGTTACATAACTAGTGGTAATAGCTGGATGGAAAGAAATATAACACAACATTTTTTAAACTGTTCTTAGATTTTTTTATTACACCCTTTATAAGATATTTTAGTGGAAAACCTGCATAGTAGATTATACAAAAGAACTCTAAAACAAATAAAAAGGTAATGGCTTCTAATAGAGGAACAGTTTATATCTTTAAATATAAACGATTTACATTTTTTTCTTAAAGTGAACCTTTACCCCCTTCCACTAGAAATCACTTTATCATGCAGCTCTGCATGCTGATGTGAAATAATTTTGCATTCATTGGTTAAACAAACATACTTTCTTTTACTTACAATACAGTTTTTCTACTTCCGGGTCCTTTTTGGCACAAATTATGTAATCGTGCCTAAGCATTGCATCCTGGGAAGGTTACATTAGCAGAGCATTGCTGGAAAATGTCATCTGTGATCTCATGAGATCTCAGGGAAAGGAATTTTCCTCCCCTGAGATGATGTGCATGGTCACATGTCTAGTCACATGTGTCAGAGTTCCAGGAAGTAGAGGGAGATCTAGTAATCTGCCCTTAGTTAAAATGACCACTGTGCTTATGTACTTTCTTCTAGCAACAAAATACTCAGATGTGAACATGGCCATAGAAATGAATGGGAACTTTTTGGGCAGAAGAAGCCCTACAAACCGCTTAGTGTGAATGAGGCCTTAGAGAAATATATTGGCAGACATTTGCTGACCTAATTATGCTAATCGCCATGGCTGACTCTGGTTTCAGTTCCTACACGTCTCAGACCTGGAACAAGTGTGCAGTAAAGTTGGTGCCTGATCCCCTTTTAGTGGGGATGCTAGATCATAGCTACACTGTAATAGTTCCTCTAGGGCAGGGGTAGCCAAACTTAGATTCTCCATCATGCATCTGCCTCTGACAGCCTCATGCATGGCTTCCAGAGTCTTGCAATGCCTTATAGGACTTGTAGTTCCATAACAGTTGGAGTGTTGAAGCTTTACTACAATGATGGAGCACACATTTCTTCTACAAATACTGACTTTTGATGGTTGGCATTTGTATAGGTGTGCCCTGGCAGTGAGCTGGTAATTAGTTGGTTGCTCAGACACAAATTTTAGTACAGTGGGAAGGGTAATGGCAGTTGTCTTCATACCAGGGCATATTGATTAGGTCAACTGTCACAGTACAGGTACGCTCTGACACCATAAAGTGTCTGCTAAGCAACATAGCAACATTGACCTTAAAGTAGTACTTAAAGGCTGGTCGTTTTTTACCTTAAAGTGACATTAAAGTTAAAACATTTTTTCCCTCCTCCCAATGTTAATTAAAACACTAACCTTAAATGATGTCTCTTAATCCGATCTTCTTCTTTCCTGTCCTTTTCATCTGTCCCTCCAGCGCTGCTGCGGGTCTCCGCTGACTCATCTGTCCTTGCTGGCACTTCCTGTCCCACGGTGTCAGCATGAGGGTGCACGCTTCCATAGACTTACCTTGTGTCTCTCCTCGTCTCCCGGCCGAAAATGTGAACTGCGCATGCGCCCGCCCCAAGATGCTTTGCGGCCGCCTGAGAATTTTCACATTTTCGGACGGGAGCGCGCAGGGAAGACACAGGTAAGTATTGACCTCTTTTAAAGTGTTTTTTTTGGTTTTGTTTACTTTTTGCATATATCTACTGCTTGCTAGCAGTAGATACTGTATATGCAAAAAAAACGGAGGCTTTAATGATACTTTAATGCATTCTCTGCATTAAGGTGAAAAATACCTTTTTCTGTCCCTCATCCCCTCTACACTTGCCTGTGAACTCTGCTGTCACTGCCGCCGGCCCCTGAGGTGATCCTGCATTGGCCAAACTTCCTGGTTGCAGGGGAGGATACTGGGGGCAGAGGAGCTATAGGCTCCTTCTGCCATCAAACTTTTGGGAGGAGAGAAGTGCACACAGCCACTTGCAGGCACAGCCAGGAATTCGCACGCTCAGGTGC